TTATATGGTCCTCTTTTAGATCTGGATTTTTTATAAGTTTTATCGATCATTCTTGTGATAATAATTTTTTATAGGTCTTGATTATATTCTTTTCGTATGATGGTGACTTAGATGCAATTATCATTTTTTGGGGGGTATTTTAGGTAGTTTCAAAATTTAAAATAATCAAAGACTACTTTCGAAATGCTATCTTTGAATTCTGGGTATTTTCAAGATTCATATCTGGTATCAAATACCCAATAAGTTAATGAAGTAGACATAGCCTTGGAGTTTCATTTTTAATGATCTATCATTTCAAAACGCTAATAAGGGTCATTAGATTTGGTATTGTCCCTATTCGCTTTAACTGTCTTAGCCATCTTGGTTACTTTCCTAAAACATCATTTGGACTTTCCTAGAAAAATCTATGATTAAGATTTGTCCACTACAAACTTAGATATTGAGTTTAACAGTCTTAAACATGTTCAACAACTTTTCTTTCTTTTTTTTTATATGAAAAGAACTTTCATTAAACAAACGGATAAACCGATTACAGGCAATTATCAAGCCAGATAGCTTGAGAAATACAATCTTGAATACTATCCAACCAAACACAAATATCATCTACCCATTAAGCATGCCTAGCTAGCTTATGAGCCACCATATTACATTCCCTGTAAATATGAGAATAGTTGCAGTTAACAAAGTGAGTGGCAAAAATTTTCACTTCCTGGTACAACACTCCTAAAGAAGAGTTCAGCATGCTATCTATTTGAAGTGCTTCAATAACCATCTTGCTATCACTTTCTACTAGAAGATTTTTAATTCTCATATTGACACATAGCTACATGCCTCTAAATATGGCCAGCAATTCAATCGCTTCACTCTCTTTGACACTTTTTTCAATCTTGGACATTGCCATAATCACCATACCAGAAGAATCTCTTAAAATAGCCCCTATTCCAGCTTTCTCCAGTTCTTTAAATGTTGCCCCATCCACATTTAATTTCAGAAAGTTAATATTTGGAGGTATCCATTTGAAATGTTTTCAGATCTGAATACAAGTTGGCTTCCTTGCTTTTTTGAACATCTCTAACATACCCAATGCATTATCAGCTATCTTTCTTGGATCCAGCCTAATTTGCTCGTGCACAAGTTTATTCCTTCTGAACCAAAAAATTCAGAGCAGCATGAAGAAAGTATCCAGCTTTGTTACTTCTTTTGTCTCACATAAAGCAAGTGCCTTTTCCTTGATTTGACTGCAATTATTGTTGACCAATTCTGGAAAGAAATTGTTCCAAACCCCTCTGAGCATGTTACAATTTATCACAGCATGATGCAGATCCTCAGTTTCTGAATTACATAGACTGCAAAGACTCTGCCCTAAGATATGTTTCTTTGCCAGATTTAGAGATGTAGGTAGCCCATGTTTGCATGCTTTCCACGCAAAAACCTTTACCTTATGCGGCACTTTCATCTTCCACAAATGTTTCCACAGCATCTTCTCATTTGGACCCTTTGAGGATCCTGCTTGCTGCTGACCAATGTAGTTATGGATCATTTTGTAGCAACTACGAACGCTAAAACATCCATTTCTTTCAAGGGACCAGAACATTCTGTCTTCTACTTCGTCTGGGCTGAGGTAAATTTTTTCTATATCAGAAACAATTCTTGGGTTGAAGAAAGTTCTCAGTTTGACTGAATCCCATGTATTTTCATTATGGACAAATAGAGAGTCCATTGTGTCATTCCTGGAGTGTTCCCATACCACATTTCCTTCTGACAACAAGGCACGATGTCCTCGAATCCATTGGTCATGCCAAATATTAACTGATGTTCCATCTCCTATGCGCCATTTGCTCCCTGTTTGTATCCATCTTCTTGCCTCCCAAGCGCCTCTCCATGTGTATGAGGGATTATGACCCAGGCCAGCTTTCAAGAAACTGCAGTTTGGGAAATATTTTGCTTTGAACAAGCGATGAAGTAGTGAGGAATTCTCTTGGGACAACCGCCACCCTTGCTTTGCTAACAATGCTAAATTGAAACATCTAAGGTCCTTGAATCCTATTCCTCCCACAGCTTTTTGATGACACATTTTGCTCCAACTTATCCAGTGGATCTTTCTTTCCCTTCCTTTTTGTCCCCACCAGAAGTTTGACATCATACTTTCTAGCTCATGACAGAAAGTAGTAGGTAGTAGAAAACAGGACATAGTGTAAGTTGGAATAGATAGAGCTACAGCTTTCAACAATATCTCCTTGCCACCTTGGGATAAAAGCCGTTCTTTCTAAGATTGAAGTTTCTGCCATACTCTCTGCTCTTTTCTTCGATCTTCCAATAATAGAAGGAAGGCCCAGGTATTTCTCGTACTGCTGGATCTCACTATTACCCCACAGATTTTTGATTTCAGTCATCCTCTCTTCACTAATATTAGGGTTGAATATCATTGCAGTCTTTTCTTTAATAATCTTCTGTCTTGACACAGTTTCATACTTGCTCAATAGGTGTTGAATACGTCTATTCTCTTCCAAGTCATCCTTGCAAAAAATAATACTATCATCTGCGAACAACAGATGGTTGATGTTTGGGTCACCCAAATCTTTAAACCGGAGATATCTTGTCTCACTCCTGCTTCCTTTAATAAAGTAATGAGTCATTCCGTGCATAAGAGAAAGAGATAAGGAGATAATGGGTCCCCTTGTCTCAATCCCCTGGATGGTAGAATAGGACCTTTAGGCTCTCCATTAATCAAGACAGAAAAAGACACAGACCTTACACAATACATAACTAGAGAAATGAAGGACTCATTAAAACCCATATCCTCCATGACAGAATGAACAAAATTCCACTCCACTCTATCGTATGCCTTACTCATATCAAGTTTTAATGACATATAACCCTTGTTACCTTTCCTTTTGTGCTTAATAAAATGAACTAACTCGTAAGCAATTACAACATTATCAGAAATAAGACGCCCAGGAACAAAAGTACTTTGACTCTCACTAATAACATTAGGTAAGACCACTTTCAGCCTATTAGATAGAACCTTAGCAATGAGCTTGTAAATCATATTACATAGGCTAATAAGCCGAAAATCACTCACTCTAACAGCATTTTTCTTTTTCGGAATAAGAGTGATAAAAGTATGATTGAGAGGGGATGGAAAAACACCTGAATTAAGAGCTTGGAGGACAGCCACAGTGACTGAAGGGCCCACCAAATGCCAGTATTTTTGAAAAAATATTGGTGACATTCCATCCGGCCCTGGAGCTGTATTAGGATCCATCTCTAAGAGTGCTATTTTCACCTCCTCAGCAGTATACTCGCTTGTAAGACCCAAGTTCATTTGATCAGTGACCCTATTAGCAATAGGAGCTAGAAAATCTAGTGAAGCCGAGGGGTTTGAGGTGGTAAAAAAAGACTGAAAATACTGAGTGATTACCCTGTCTCTATGAAAATCTTCATTCCAGCAATCCTCTTCATCTAATATTTTGACAATCGTATTCTTCTTTTTCCTTTGCAAGGCCTTCCAGTGAAAATATTTTGTATTACTATCTCCTGTTTTAAGCCATAGAGCTTTTGACCTTTGGCGCCACATTACTTCATTCCTTTCTAGCCAAACCTGCACTTCTTCTCTAGCCTGACTCAGCTCATCATCGTTGGCTAGCAAAGGATCTCTTTTATGTAAAATCTTGAGGTTAGTTTGGGCTCTCGAAAGCTGCTTTTGCACGTTACCAAAAGTGTTTTTATTCCATCGCTTCAATATTTGACCGCAATCTTTAAGAAGAGAGCTAATATCAGCAGGATTGGATAAATTTGAGTTTTCCGCCCACACATCCTTTATAAGATTCTCACATGCAGCATCTTCCACCCACATGGCCTCAAATCTAAAGGGTTTTTCAATCCCTTGATAAACCTTACTCCTATCCAAATCCACCCAAATTGGAGAGTGATCAGAATATGAATTAACTCCATTTATAACCTTCACTGTAGAGAAAGCATTAATCCAAGTAGAATTTGCTAAGAATCGATCAAGACGTTCCTAAACTCTATTCTTGTTTGACCTCCCATTACACCACGTATATTTCTGTCCAGAGTACCCCAGGTCTCTCAGTTCACTATCTTCAATAAATTCTCTAAATGATAGTAGTTGTCATTCCGGTCGCATGTTTCCCCCTTTCTTCTCATGGTAAAACAACAATTCATTAAAATCTCCCATGAGAAGCCAGGGTCTATCGGACCCACTATTTAAGTGGCGAAGGAAAGACCATGTTCTGTGTCTCAAATGGGTTTCAGGAAATCCATACACACCAGCCAGGAACCATTTTTCACATTAAAACTGTAGCGCCCCGAGTTCTGTTAACCCGGATTGCCACGTCATCGTCTTTTGCCCT